ACTGCACCTGGACAAACAAAGTGGAGGGCGATGATTCCTCAGGTACTGCCCGAAAGTGTTCCAGTCACGGCGCTTTTGGTTCTCGTAGCGGCTTGAGGTCGGAGAAGACGAAGTAACACTGTTATGGCTAACGTTTACAAGGCCGGTGGCGCCGTTTCCGGAGTTGAAGCTATCCATTTCTCGAATCGAATCCATAGAAACAATCACAGCAACCAGTTTTTATAGCTTGTTCCCGAATGTTTTTAAAAAGGAAACAAAGAAGAGATCGTTGGTGATGATGTTTTCTTTTTTAGCTTTGGATCTTGAACTAGGGTTTTGTTGATAAGAACAGTTGTATGAGTGAGCATAGGACAGCCTTATGAAACCAAAAGTTGAAACTGTTGCTGCAAGACAAGTGAAGGAACAGAAAACTTTGTTTTGTTATATAATTCTCTCAGCAGTCAGCTATATAGCTACAAGATAACTCCACTTTTTGTTTCCCAGATTTCTACTGTTTATATGAAAACAACACCGGCAAAGATGAAAACACTGGTGGATTATTAAAGAAGGAAAGCCTCTGCTACTTAAAAGAGAAATATATGCTATTTTTATTAGATTCACAAATCACAACGAAGTGAACTCTGATTAGGATTGAAAATATTTTCTCTATAATATACTTATTAATATTTAATATAAATTAATTAATTAATAAATTAGATAAAATTTATTTAAAGTTAAAACAAATATAAAGTTACGAGACGGGTAAAATTTAAGGCTATTACATAATTTTGTATCTTGAACCTGTCGATTCGATAAGACAGATCCTTTTTCATTGACAAGAATACCCTTTTAGACAATTTTTCTACAATAAAAAAATTCTTTTTAAAATTCACGCCACTTATAATTAATGTCCCAATCCTCTTTTAAAATGTTTAGGCAATTTTTTTTTTAAATTACAATAATTTTCTCTCGTTTTTCTTAAATTTATTTTAGAGAAAAAAAGGAAGTGTGTGGTTTTGTTTTTACACTCTGTTTTTATTAGTACGAGATTATTATAATGTAAGTTTTAGAGTCGAGTAGTACATAGGTAGTAGAAGTATGAACCTTCATTGTTAAATAATTTGTTTAAAAAATATAAAAATAAGATTCAATATTAATGATATCAAGAATTATATCGTTAGCGATACAATCCGATATATGTATATATATACACTTTAGTAATTACTAAAATCCGACAAGTTTAACGGTAGATGTCTCTTTTATTGTGTGATTTTAAAAATATGAATTAATTGAATACATCAAATAGTTTTAATAGTTAAAATGAATATTATTCTCCCTTATAAATTAATTATTATATTTACAGAATGTACGTACATTATCAGTTATTAAAAACAATTCTGAACAGAAACTATCATTATAATTATCGCAAACTACTTTAAAAATATATGAATGAACTAATATAAGCTCACCACAGAATTAGTCGGGCCTGAGGAGTAAATTTGACCCAAAGGAAATGGACATGAGCCCACCAACATAACCTTTACATCACATGGAAAATTGGGATGTCTGCAAGTAAGTTGACAACTTGTACCATGCATGCATGCATGCATACATGAGTTCTTCAATCATCCAACATCAAAACCCCACAAATTCTCCAAAAGGACTGAAATAATAGCATATCAAACAAATGAAAACAACATGAATTAATTCTTTGTTACAAAAACTTTATATTTGATATATTATAATGTAAATTTTGCAGGGTTGATATGCCATTCAACACGGTGAAAGTACTAAAATTTAAGGGGCAAAATTAAGAATTTTAATTTGGGGCCTGGAATAAAATTTATAAAATTTTAAGATCAAAACCAAAACAATTATTTTCAAAAAGCTTGGATGAATATTTTTATAATGGAGATGGGCTAAAATTGAAATGATTCCATTTAACCAACGGAGGACTAAAATTGACAATTTAATGATATTAATAGTAAAACTTTTTATTCCATGGTTAAAATAAAATCGATCTTATAGTTCAGTGATCTCTCACGTAGTTTACCCCAAAAAAAAATACAATGTTCAGCTGAACATAAAATAGGCCATAGTCTTTTTAAGTTTAAAACTTTTTATCATTACTATTAACTAATTTGAAAGAGCCTAACCTTGCACAAACTTTGCGACCTCGGTGGTAAATGAATTATTGTTATTCTTTGAGGTCTGGGGTTTGAGCATCGACAATGCCAGGCGTATATGCAATCAATATCAAATGGTTAAGAGTTATCTTTGAACATATACTACATTGTACTTACCCCAGATTAATAAAAAAAAATGGCCTAACCTTTTATATTTGGTGAAAACCTTTGTTTGATTAGAGTTTAGAGGTTAGTCGTTATATAATTAAAACATATCACCAATTACCAGTTATGTTTTTCTTTATTTGTCAAAAAAAACATGTTTTTATTTTAGGATGAGTTAATTGAGTCGCACGTCCTCATATTATGTCTTATTTTAAATTAGTCTTTAAACTTTTAAATATTCAAATTTCATTCCTAAATTGTGACATTAATTCTAAATTAATCTGAAACTTTTTAAACATTTAAATTTCATCATAAACTATACGTGTATACTAATCAAGTCCTTTGTTAATAAAATCATTAGGCCAAGTTATATTATTATATGTTTGAAAAAATAAAAATTAGGTTAAACTACACTTTAAACTAATTATATATTTGGATGAATTTAGGGATGAAATTGAAATATTCAAAAGTTCAGGGGTCAATTTAAAATGAGTGTCATAGTTTAAAAGGAATATATATATATATATATATTATTATTATTAATCTGGGATAAAAAATAAGGCCATATTTATTCAAAGAACACTCACAATCATTTGACATTAAACTATCATACCCCTGGTATTTTTATTACTTGAATATGTGACCTCAAGAAATAATAACAATTATTTTACCACTAAAGTTGCTTGGTTCATGCTTATTATATATTAAAAAATGATTTTAAGTACCAACATGAATTGGTTCAAGTTGTAAGTAATTTGATATCGCTTAAGTAAGGTATCGAGTTTAAGTCATTGTGTATGCAGAAAATCCTTGTTGGGAGACTCACCCACCAAAATCACGTGTGGGACGCAGATCGATTTAAATTAATTAAGGTTAAACTTTGAAACAGAGAGGGAAATTATTTTTAAGTTGTAAACGTACGATATCCATGCTTATTATACTGTTGGTATTTTAGTCATCATCCTTTGTCTCACATTATTGGATTCTTCCATTAAATAAAAGTATTTTATTTTATTTTTTCTGTTTTTTCTTTTTGTTTCTTTGTGCCAGAAAATGGTAAAAAATTCATAGTTCTAATTAACTCCAATTTGTCGGTGACGAAAAAAAAAGAACGGATAGCACTGAAAATACTGAATATTATAAGCATTAAAGGGTACGTTGGTAATTTTAAAGATTTTAATTTCGAGTAACTATGTTTATGAAGTGTATGTTTGTTATCAATAAATTAAAAAATTTAAAAAAAAATTATTTTATATTCTTTCTAAATTATTTAAAAAGAAAATTGAATTGGGTTCTCTTTGTCATTCTACATTTCCCGTTATCATGAAAATTCTCTTAATTTCTATTGCCTTTGTAGAACGATAATATTTTATTTATTATTATATTATTTTATTGTGGTTTGTGTAAACTTAATCAATTTGTTAGAAATTAATCGCATCTTACCTAAATCTTTATTTAATAATAAAATAATTACTAATAATATTCTTTCCTGATTTGTGGAACCCAAATCTCTCTTATGTAATACTTTTGGAAGCATATGATCGGGTAGATAGGCATAGTCAATTGCTTCAAAGATAAGGAACGGCAATGTCGTGGAATTGGTTTGGTTTCATTTACAAAAAATAAATATTTTAAATTTGAATTAATTATAAAATATATAAATATGTTCTTTAAGAATATTTAAGTTCAACATCTTCAAGTGTATGCTAATTATTAATTATTGATAAAAAAAATTATTAGTTTTTTTTTTTAAATTTATATAATTTTATAATTATAATTTAAGGTTGGTTACTACAGGTCAAATTCAGTTATTAATCTACATTGATCCATTTATGATTGATAATTGATGACTATTCCCCAATAGTTTACAACCTAGTCATTTCTCAAACGTTTTTAATGTTTGGTCGTGTTTAATGTAAGAGAGATGCATGCAGCCAAGGCCAATGCTCCCTCCTTTATTTATTTGCATTTGGGGACGGATTCAATGAAAACATAATCTTGTGTTCTCTATTCTAGGAAACCCCGTTTTACATCACCCAACGAGATAAAATATGCACGAACCGATCGAATTAAACTCCGGATGAACATAAACGTGTAGGGTTTGAATCTCGGATTTTTCACCATTTGACACGACTGTTGATCGGTCATGGAGGATCAGAGTGACGGAGAGGATGAAAGGTCAATACAGGGAACAGTATAACAAGGAATTGAAAGCTGTTGTATATAATATGGGTCCATGCATAACATGAGTTAAACAGGGCCAGCCTTGGATGCTTTTTCTAAACAGTAATTCATACCAGTAGGAGTAGGACCAAACTGCAAGTTTCAGGTAACAACAACAGAAAAAACACTTAATCGTATTATCATATTAGTACCGCCTATTGCCGCGTATCATCAACGAGCATAAAGCTTTACATATATCATTTTGTTTGTCTACTATCGCCTCGGCTTGCTCGGGTTTTAACTTGCAATGAAATTCACCCAGAGAAAGTAAAAGAGAGGGGAAACTGGTTTGGTTACTGGTTTTAGCCATAGATGCCAACCAACGCTACCTGGTTTGTGCTTTTTCCTGAACCAATGGAATTCAATCTGGATTGAACAGGGTGTTTAGGGTCAAAAATTTGATTTCCTTCGTCGAGGAAGTCCATAACAGGTCAAAAAACCATGAACATTTCGAAAATCTAGTGTCTGTTACGGTACAAGAGAACGGATAATGGAACAATTGACAACAAATAGCAAAAAATATCTTTCAACAAGATCTTACAGCAGATTACAAGAGTCTATAGGAATATGTACAAATATATCTACAAATCCAAGGCCAAATCTGTCACTAAAAAATCTAAAGCTATATGGAAAGCTACTCCGGATGCTATGGCAAGCCGAGTTTTTCTAAGGAAAATATCGCAGCAAATTATAGACAAACCACCGTTCTCATGGGAACAACAATACCTTATTTCCCCAACCTCTAACCACATTTAAAAAGGGTATTAAAATACAAGAAAAAAAACAAAGAATACAGTTCATAACACTAGTGCATATAGCTGGAAGACTAAATAATGTATGAAACGAGAACACCAAAAGGACCAATTGAGGGAGACCAACTTACATGGTGTAGGATATCAAAAAATCCGAAAGGCAAAATATAACAAAAAATAGTCTGTTTTCATGTCTTGCCCTTCCCAGTGGCACCTTCTCTCTGATTCCGGAAGTGACTGAGAAGCTGTTGTGCCTGCAACAGGGAAATAAAATAAAATATCATGTATTTTCGCACGTGCATGCAGATTTTTTTTCTCTTCAGATTAATATGTGATCAAACATGTGATTAATGAGCAATCATCAATTCTAACTAAGATTTAATGAGCATTACAAGAAATGTTATGCCTTCCTGATGTGACGTCATTCACTACTTTCTGCAACGGGTTTTGGAAAATTAACACATTTTTCATACCCTTCTAATATGTCACAATTAGAATCACAAATGCTAGGTCAATTTCCAGTAAATAAATGGAAAAGTGGTAGAACCCCTCAATAGAGTTCATCACACATAAGCAATATATTCACAAATCAATTGTACAGGTGAAGACAAAGAGAAGGAATATAATCACAGTTTTGCTTATTAAGACCTGAAACAGGAGAATGGAAGGACCAAATCACCGTAACAGAAGAGGAAAAAACTGAGCTGCATACCTTTTCCTTCGCTCTTGGTGTGCCAGACTGAGACAATGCGACGAGTGGTGGCACAGCTCCTTCTTGCAAAACCAGCATACAAAACTTGGGGTTATTAAGGCATAGTTGCACCAATACAGAGGCAGCGTTTTCCTTACCCCTCCGCGATCCTGATTCAACAATTTCAACTAGTAATGGGATACCACCTTCTCGGACAATTGCTACACGCCCTTCCCCAATTGTTGAAAGGTTCGAGAGAAGAGCAACTACCTTGTCAACCATCCCACTATCAGGATCCATTAACCGGACAAGGTATTTTACTGCACCTGCTTGAACCATTCGAGCCTTATTTTCATGAAAGATTGATAAGTTAAACAAAGCTGTGGCAGCATCTTTTTTCCCTCTCAATGTTCCTGAAACCAGAAGATTCACCAAGGCTTTGATAGCACCAGAGCGTCCAATCTTTGCCTTGTAGTCTTCCAAGACAGAAAGACTGAACAAAGCTGCCGCAGAATTTTCTTTGGCTCCATCATTTCCTGACTTTAGAACATGAACTAGTGGCTCTATTGCTCCTGATTTTGCAATCATAGACTTATTATCTTCATTAATTGAGAGATTTAAAAGGGCTGTAACAGCATGCTCTTGGGTTAGCTTCACTTCCGAATATAATAGAGACAGTAATGGTGCAATAGCACCGGAGCGACCGATAATTATACGATTGTCCATGTTGTTCTTTGCAAGAAAGCGCAACTCAACAGCAGCTACAGTTTGGACTTCATTTGATGGGCTTTTAAGGTTGTCTACTAATTCCATCACATGGGAACTTGTAGTTAAATCATCACATCCTGACCCAGAAAACATAATGGAGTATGCTTTGTCATAATCACGGTTTCCGTTAACTGCCTCTTCTGCTTTTGTTCCAGAGACCTGCAACTGCTTTCCTGTTGTCCAGGAAGAAAATCCAGCTTCTTTTACTGAAGGAAAAGTGCCAAGGCAATCGGATGAAATTTCAGCTACCTCATTCATTTCATGTTTCTTTGACCTTCTTGACAAGTCATTTGAAGCAGGAGGTGCATAATCACTACTGGAAGCTTCACTCGCTGCGGATTCAGTTCTGCTGTGAATATATGAACGATCAGAGGACTGGTCATACTTCTCGATCTCCCTGCTTTGGCTTCTATTGCACTCTCCACTAAATCTAGATGACATAATCTTCAGCTTCTCTAAACCATTCACAACCTCGAGAGATGATCTTGATGTGGAACTAATACTGTTTGCAAAGAAATGGAAACCATCAGTACCGGTTAAATCTTGAGAGGATATATGATTTGAAGTAGAAGAGATTGAGACAAGTTTAACATGCCCAGTGTTATTGGAGAGTTGCAAGCTCTTTTTGTCGCACCAATTTGCTACCATAGCTTTAACTGTGTGGTTGGGAATGAGATTTGTATGTTTGAGTGCTTGATGGGTCAGTGGGCAAATGGTGAGTCCACTATCAAGCCACTTTTGGATGGAGGTCCTGTCATAAGTTTGCCCAGAAGCCACAATAACAGGATCCGTCATAAGCTCCACCGAAAGGGGGCACAGGAAATGTGGTGGTATTGAAATGCCACTTGTGGGTTCAAAGTGCTCAATTTTAAGAATGTAATCACGTATATGAGAGATGAGATTCACAATCTGATTGATTTGATCTAATTTCCCTTTCATGTTGCTGACGTGCGCATTCATTCTCTCTTTTTCCACAGCCACAGTTTCTTTCAACAGTTCCTGGTTTGATGCCAAGTTCAGCAACTTGATAACTTTTACCAGATGATCAGTGTCATGAATAGCACCATCTTTTAGACTTCTCAAAGCCTCTCCTATATTTTCCGATAATCTCTCCTGCTTCAGACATTTAATTTCCCGAATACAGTGCTGAAACAGTTGAACATCAATTAGTCTCACTACTCAAAGCCAACTCAGACTCAGAAAGTGATAGCAGATTACATCCAGCTGCCTTAACAATTTCTAAAAGGGCAAAAAATGGCAAAAAGGAACACAAGTAGAACTTATGAAATCTAAATGTACAATTTAAGAAAAAGCGTTTGATTTTTTCCCCCTTACCTGAACACTGGTTATACTCGAAGTCGATGGTGATGACTGCAATGATTTATATAATATGTGACATATCTGTAGTGAAGAGCTTTGCATTTTTATCAGAAAAGGCTCGCTCTGGAGAACCTGTGCACGTTTTTTAAACAAAAATAAGCGGGTGAATTAGAATAGTAGTAGAAGCGTGAAAATACGTTTGTTTTATTCAAGAGTGAAAGGCATGCATAATACATATTAGCATCAAGTATACAAGATTCTTTTCTTTTGGTCTTTGGGAGACTAAGACACGATAGAGAAGGTCCTCCGGCACCTTTGTTATTCATTTTACTATATGCTACATTTGATTGCAGATAAAGAAAATGAGGAAAATAGCAATTTTTAATAAACTGGATTACCTTAGCCATCTTGTAACTCAAGTGTTCTTGTTCTTCTAAAAAGTATGGCATTTTAATATCTAAACAGAACTGTCCTTATTACAATTAAATTTGACTGTGTTACATTTCCAAGGAATAGATTTTCTTACACTATAATAAAATGGGTTATATTTGCAGCCAATCATTCAAGCTTTCATCTACAAACTATAATAACCTACAAATTAACTGAGACTTCACAGAACCTACGGAAATCGAAGTTTAGGTACTTCTATTTCCCGGCATTAAAGCAGCCAAACATTCTTTCTATAAAAGGTTTCATACTGTAAAGCAGCCGGACAAATCAACGGGGAACACATCCTCATTTCGAGCACTACTTTTATTTTATTTTCCTTTTAGGTATGATTTACCTACAGTAAACATTAAGAATAAACTTACCATATGGATTTTGCTCATCTTAGGAGACCAGTTCTCCATGAATTCTCGAGCCTCGTTAACAAGCATGTCTAGCTCTTCACACTCTTTACACAGGTCTTCATCCGAAGGTATCTCACAGTCAACAACATCATCAAGCAGCGGTTTTAGAAGTTTTAACACCACAGCCATATTCCTGTATTCCTTTTCGATGGGAACAACTTTTATTGCCTGGCATGATACAAGATGAATGAATCGAGCAATACTGTTGATAAGACATCTCACCGAGGTTGTGTCCATTTGACCTGAATTTCAATGAAGCATAAATAATTTTAAAATACATACATACATACATACAATTCAAAGTAGTATGAAAACTGCTCAGGCATGATCTTTTCATGACTTAGGAGTGTCTTTGAAAAATCTTAAGCTTGCACCATTGTCTGTGTTGACTGACTTCCAATTAAAAAAAGAATCAGATTTTATAAGATTCGGTGTAGAGAAGGCTCTTGACTTGCCAAAAATAGTGTGATCTATTTGTAAGACTGTTGGACTCTTCTTAATTCCTAATAGTCAAGGTTCAATGCTAAATCCCCATAGCCTCACAAGACTTCAAGTAAAAAAAAGGGGGCCGGGGGGGGGGGGGAAGCTTTTGACTAATGCCTATGAGTGGAACACACACCCATTCATTGTTGCAGAAATTATATTATTTGCAAATTCATGGCATTCTCCATGTTGACTTTTTTCCTATATAAGAAAATTATATATCCAACAAAATGTAATATTATCAATAAAATAAATGATAAGGTTTCCTCTACAAATTAATATTAGCTTGCTATGTGAAAGAAGCTTTTAACTAATTTACCTCATCAGAAACAAACACAAACATCCATTGTGATCTTGGAGAGCAAAAATGGGGAGGAAAAAGAAAGCTAAAATGAAAATCATTTCATAGTTTAAAAGCTTGGTTGAGTCTAAATGTATAAAACACACCTCCATTGCTTATATTATGGGAGTGAAAGAGACATAGACAGAGAACTCTTGAACTCGATAATGAAAAGTCTATTCACTCTTCAGCTTGAAACTGAAGAAAGCTTGATAAGTGTTTGACGTTTAACTCCGTCAAAAACCATGTCTCAAATAGCTACAATAAGATCCAAAATATCCAGTTTGTGAGCATCAAACAAAAAGGGTGTGATGAAAATTAACAAAACAATTTTTAAAAAAATGTTTCTTTATATATAAAAGAAGAGGAACAAAGCATGAGAATTTCCCAATTCTCCTGAAATCCAATTCCAAAACCACAGCCACCAGTTTATGTAATCGAAACCAGCAAAGCATTTCATTTTATCACTGAAACCATACCTCTTTTGTTGAAATGGGTTTTAAGCTGGTGAAACAAAACAAGCACGGATCTTGATAGACATTCGAGTGATGAAAAATCTTCGGTGGAAAATATCCAAATATTAAATCTTTAAGCATCAAACGTAATGCCTTCAAGTTCAACTCTCTCTCTTTTCTTTTTTCCTTTCTCAACAAAGCTGCATGACACAGAGGGAGAGAGAGCTACAATAAAAAATAAAGAAACGAAACTGGAAAACAAATAGGGAAATTACAGGGAAAAGAAAGCGAAAGGGTAAACCAGATGCCCCTATTTGGTGGAAGAATTGTTGGGTTTTGAAGGAAAAAATTAATTAAGATTAATCATGATTTAGATGAAAACATAGATAGAATAAAGTTAAGGCCTTGTCTTTTATTTCCCTTTTCCTCCCTAAAAAACCTTAATTTTCATTGATTGCAATGTTTACCATCAAATTGATATATCACTTATGTCATAGGTTAGGTGAGTAAGAAATAATAAACTATAAAGAATCAAAATTCCAACTTTGGGTTGATGATAGCAATTATTGTTCATATCCTCGAATAATTATATAAATATTTAATAAAATATATAATTATTTAACCACACCATGAAATATTTTTTATATAAGAAGTAAAACCAAAATAAAGATCATTTATCTAATCTCTCAAATTATGATGGTTTCTATTTGGGGGGGGGGGTAGGGATGATGAAACCTAATTTTTGAGGTTTATAACAAAAAGAAAGAAATGTCCAGCTTATGTCATTTTCAATTGCGATTATTAATGGAGAAGATAAATGGTAGATATAGGTGCCGTTTGTCTTCTTCAAACCAACGAAATGCACATCTTTTGTTCGTCAGAAATTCCTTTCCAGTAATCTGTGACCGTGGCCGGCAATCGTTAGCAGTATGTGGATTTGCTTATGGGCTCGGATATATTATATTGACTCATATGAAACAGATTTCATGTTTGAATTCTTAATATTAAAACAAACTGAAATTCAAAGAGTAATTATAATTATAAAACATTATATATTTATTTTAATTGATTTGAGTTGAATAATTTTGACTGTAAAATAGGCATGAATTTAATAATATTAAAATATAAAATATATTATTTTAAGATCATACATATATATATATTAAAATAAAGAGCAAATTATTTATTTGATCATTCACCTATTATTTAGTTTTTGTTTTGATCACTTAACTATTACTTTTTAATTATAATGGATCGTTCATTTTAAACTACGTATATTTTTTATGAAAATATAATTCCGAATAGAGAAATATTATACGAAATTTAATCTAATTGTTTTATATAATCATTTTTAGAGACGGTATTAGCTTATTATTCGAATTAAGAAAATAAAGAAAAGGGGCGTCAGTGGATTGGATAGACAAAAGTAAAGTAACCATATGCATTGTTTACATTCATTACACATTGATATTTGCTCAAACAAAGACAAACATTATTGTCCTTAGCTGCCTTAATTATAACAGCCTGACCCAATTTTTATCCTGTTGATTTGATGATCCGTTGCCAGCTATTACTCCCCACTTCTTCTCTCCAACATTAACAATGCCTCCAAGACAAAATGTATGCATTTGCAGCACTTCTTTTGCAGAAAATCAGCTTACAAACCTCCAAAAACTTGTAGGCCACCAGGTTAAACAACCTGCTCTGCCCGTACCATCAAATCATTCATCTCCACCAAAAGTTGTTTCAATTGAGATGGAAACTATAATGAAGTTGTACTATATAAGCTGATTGTGGGCATTCCAAGCCATGTGGTGGGGGTTTCCTTTATCCTCTGTTGCTTCTATTTTAAAGGCCAGGATGACAAATTTCATCTGCCTTGGGACATCATTTAAAGCTTCTGACTCCTCCATTTTTGGCCAGCTTTTTCTCCCACAAGTTAAATTTTCCTCCACTTTGCAGACAACGTACAACTCCGCCAACTATGTCGGTCATAGAAACTGGACCGAATAACCGACTGTCCTTAGCTTCCTATCATCTCACAAGAAGAGAAGAGGAAATAAAATAAGGGGAAATTGAGAACATTGATCAGGTCTACCAAAATAATGCTGGAAAAAAATGAACTTCTGAAAATTATGTGATTTTCTCAATGGATGAAAATGAAAATGAAAATTATAAAATTATGATTTTATATTTTATTTCATAAAACTTTTACAATAATATATTATATGTTCAAAATACATTATTGAATGATTAATGAGAAATTGATGTTCAAAATAAGTTATTTGTTAATTATATTTGAGAAAAAAATAAGTTATTTATTATGAAGTATTTTTAATAATTTTATGTGATCTACAAGATAATATATGTATTGTTAATATTTTTTAAAAATATTAACAATACGTATACACCCTATAGACACATCTATTTGAACCCCATATTTTAACAAATTCTATTATGAAGTGAAATTGGAAATTTTTCTGTCGTATTATTTATATTTCGTACGTTGGGGCCTTGGGCTTCAATTTTTCAATGTCAGCCAATACCCAGCACTGGACACCATTTCAATTTAATGGACTTGAACTTGAACATAATCTTTTTTATCTTAATTTGCAACCATTTCAATTTAATGAACGAGATTTAAATAACTAGAAATTTATAAGTAGAAATTAGATTAACATGACAATAACATAAAAATATATTATATGTAAGAAAAATATGATTCATTTTATCTATTTTCACATATAAAAATAATAATAATTTACTATAAAAATTAACTGACCCTATTCTCATATGTAATGGGATAAGGGAGAGGTAGGGTAGTAGGCTGCCCCCAACACTAGGTTGAGAGCAACTTCCGTGGAAGACCTCTGATAATTATGAATTATATAAACATATAGAAATTCATATATTCTATAATCCCATATTTCCCAAAACTTCTATATTTAAAAAAAATTGATCATTTTTTATTCCATAAAAAATATTATTTAAATAATTTTAATTGTTAGATAATACAACTATTAAAATTTATATTAAATATAACTTAATTTAAATTTAAATTAATATAACATAAATTTTATAAAAACTATAAATATCTAAACCGTTCTACTTATTTATATGGAAGTGAAAATAATATTAATACTTCTTTCGTCTTATTATTCTTATTATATTTTAACAAAATACATAATTTTAAGATGTATGTTTGATCATATATTAAATTATATAAAATAGGAGAAATAATAAGATTATCTTTAAAAGTGATTGATAAATTTAACAAATTTATTTAGATAAATATAAAATAATGAAGTCAAAGATAACTAATATATATAATATTCTTTTAATATGACATTTTAAATGAATTAATTTTAAAATTAAAAGTATACAAATTTAAAACGACGAAAAAATATTAATTTTCTTTTCTGAAAAAATAAATAAATAAAGGGTTAGATATTTTTTTGTTAGTGGCACACCAAAAACGAAACGACACGGGCTTGAAAGGGACACATAGCATGGGGCCCAGTAGGCATGAGGTCCGAGCCACGCGTATTTAGGCTTGGACCATTTCTCCTCTTTGGCATCTGTCATTTATCTGTCTCTTTCCCCTCTCTCTCTCTCTCTCTCTCTCTCTCTCTCGCTCGCTTATCCAACGAACTACTCTGAAGAAAAAAATATATTCAAAGACCAATTCCAGTTCAAACCCAAAACCCCGATTGATTTGTCTCTTTTCCCGTATCTCACTTCTGGTTTGTCAATCTTTTTTTTTGAAGGTAAGTTCGCGTATTTTTTATTTTAATTTGTTTATTCCTCTGTTTTGTTCGTCATGTCTATGCTTTGATTATGATCTGAACTTACCCATATAATGTGTTTGCCGTTTCACTGTTAGTAAACAAACCCATGCTTTATTTTGGGTAATATTAATGAATTTCATTTCTTTTAAACTAGCTTTTTTGTTTTCGAAAAAGTTTAGTTTGAATTGGGGATTTGATTTGGCCTGTAGATAAAACTAGGAGAGCATGGATAAAATGAAACTAGCTCAATGGGGTGAGAAACTGAAAACGGGTGGAGCTCAAATGAGTAGGATGGTTAGTGGAAAAATGAAGGAAATTCTTCAAGGTCCAACACCCGAATCGAAAATGGTGGATGAGGCCACCTTAGAGACCTTAGAGGAACCCAACTGGGGAATGAACATGAGGGTATGCTCTATGATCAACAGTGAACAGTTTGATGGGGCCGAAATCGTTAGGGCCGTCAAAAAGAAGATATCCGGGAAAAATGCTGTCAGCCAAAGGTTGAGTCTTGATTTGTTGGAAGCTTGCACGGTGAATTGTGAGAAAGTAGCTTCTGAGGTGGCTTCGGAGAAAGTGTTGGAAGAGATGGTTAAGATGATCGAGAATCCGCAGACACATCCTGGGAATAGAAACAGAGCTTTGCAGTTGATTCGTGCTTGGGGACAGTCTGAAGATCTCGCATACTTGCCGGTGTTTCATCAGACATATATGGTAAACCGTTTTTACTTGGATTCATGTTTTTTCAAGTGTTGGTTTAGTTCTACATAGATTCACCGGTGTTGAATACTTGCAGTATTGCATCATATCAATGCAATCTATAAATCTGCTGATCTTTAATTTTTAAATTATCTGTAATTCTTCACAATTAGCAACATGAATTTATCATAATATTTTTTAATGGAAATGATATGTACAGCTTTTAAGTATTTTGCTCCTATGTTGAAAGGCCAGCATGTTGGAAATGCCGATTACAGGTCGAATGTCCTCAAGTCAAACTATTTAAGCTTCTAAGTTTGCTTTTGACCGTGTTATGATTTCATTATCTTCCCCTTACTCTTCAATCTGATGCTCCGAATTCGGATACTTTAACTGTAAAATTATGTATTTCCTGAAGATTATTTAACAAAGAAGGTCCTAGTAAATGTGGTTTTATTTCTTTTCTTTTTGCTGATGTGTGATGTTTCTTGAATTACCTTCTACATACAGATTATGAATAATCGATTTATTATCATTAAGATACTTTCCAACTTACCATAGAATTGGATGCTTCTCTGTGAAATGTGCATAAACTAATTGCATGCTAGCTATCGTGCATTTAAATACTCTAATTCTCCAGTTTTTTGCTTACTTTTTCTCCTTTTTTTAACATAAACTAGAGCTTGAAAGAGCGAAGTACACCACTGCCGGTGGATGCTGATGACGGGAATGCACCCTTGTACCAGACCTTGGAGTCTTATATGGGAGAGCCATTTCCTCCCCCTGAAAATTATCCTGTCAATAACACAGGATTGCAGGGTAATGATTTTGCCTATAACTATGGGAGTTTATCTGTTGAACAAAAGAAGGAACTTTTTGAAGTAACTCGGAACAGCCTTGAGGTGCTCTCTAGCATCTTTAGTACGGGAACGGAGCCAAAACCCCCAAAGGTAATTCTTCTGGTTCCAGCATGATTTAATTGTAATCAGGTAGTTTTTTAGTTTGTAGATCTAGCTGCATATCTGACAATTTCTGCTGTGTAGTTATCATCGGTTGACCCTGTAGAACTGAAATTACCTTCTCTTTGACCTCTTTGGTTTGCTAGGAAATGAAATGCTTCTGCATTTTAGTTGTTATTATATTTTCCAAAATGCTCTGCTGCATCTTGAATCTTCTTGTTCTTCCGATGTGATATTGTCGGCATAACATCATCCTGGTTATTAAACGCTGAAAAACTCAGAAAAGTTCTCGTGTGATGACAGGATGAGCTGACAGAGAGCATGTTGGAGAAATGCAAGCAGTCACAGCTAGCTATTCAGATGATTATAGAAAGCACTACCGACGATGATGGAATCCTCTTTGAGGCTCTGAATTTGAATGATGAACTTCAACAAGTCATCTCCAAATTCGAGGGACTGGAAACCGGTTCAAAAGCCGACACCACTGCTGTTATTCCCACTGCTGCTGAGACCAATATAGAAAGTACGGTGGGCGCTTCACCTTTAAACCATGATGAAACCAAGACCAGTTCTTCCCTGCCCACCCATGATGAAACCCAGATGAATGCTTCCCAGAAAGCAGGTGGTACCGAATCCGGCAGTGATACAAAAATATCAAACGGGAACTGATGAATCTTGAGAGGATTTGCTAGGTTTAATTTCCATTTCCATTACCTGTGCTGCCGTTCTGGTTAACCGTATGGTTGGTTTGCTGTAATTAGGGAATAAGATTATGTAGTCCAGACACGATTATTAGTTTATCGGTTGTGTAATTACATTTTGTTTGCTAAATTAGAACCGTTATTTTTCTTTTTATTTTCAATTTATTTAATTCTATTTGATTTTTTAATAGTTTAGATTAATTATAAAATAGTATCTATTTGTCTTTCTTAACTATTGACGACGTGTATTTTCTACAAATATAGCTGTTTACATAAGTTTGCGCATAATCAAGGTATTCAATATGTGCCTTTGCGAAGTTTTCTAATAAGTGATAATAATCTTTATTTTATATGCATCGGTTATGTCTACCAATGGGAAATTAAAATTTGGGTAAATTACAGTGACTATTCTAAAATTTAAATTGTATAATTAATTTTATCATTGAATTTTAAAATGTTTTAATTCAAACATTAAATTTTAGTTTTTTATTTTAGTTAAAGCATTATATTACTATACTATTAACAATCAGACCACGAAATAATCTAGTGATGATATAGAAGTCTTTTGTATCTCAGTATCAACCAATTTTAAGTTTATTTATTTATAGTTGTCGTCGAAAATTATCATTATTCGATATCTTTTATGATAACTCTAGACACTAATGAAATCGTCTCATCATCCTTTATCATTTTATTGGTTTAGATTTTCTCAAATTATCTTCAAAACTTATGAAATAAAAACAAATAAAAAAACCATAATTTTGGGGATTTCAGGCTTTTATTGAATTTTAGACATTTGTTCGAAAATACGAACGATGAGAAGTATTCTTTTGAGATGATATAATGATAAATTAAAAAAAGGATAGATAGGTTTTTATTAAAGATATAAATATTATTAGTTAATTTATAAAATATTTAATGTTTAAGATTTTTAAAGAAAGATAATGAATGCGTTATTAACATAAATCTCCAATGAGACAGAAGTGGAACATAATGGGACTAAAAGGGGCATTGTCCTCTAAAATTTTAAAAACAACATTAAACATTAAAAAATTTGTAATTTTGCCAAAAAAATTAAGAAATTTATTATATTTTAAAAAAATCTCATTAAATGTCAATTTTTTTATTCTTTTTAAATGTCTAAAAAATTTAAATTTTTATTATTTTTAAAAATAAATATTTTTTTGGTATTGTCAAAATCTAGGAATGAAAAAGCGCCGACGTAAAAAATAACGTTAATTAAGGCAAAAGTTCTCATATAATGCTACAGAGAATTTTTAATTCCCAAATTAAAGTGTTCATCCGATTAATTCCTCAAATGGGGTATTTTCTACAGTAAATTTGGGATATCTCGGCGTCTTCAGGGTTAACCAATTTTTTGGTGGGATCTCCCGGCGTCTTCAGGGTGTTGGATTATTTATGTTTTCTACGGTAGATTTAGGATTTCTCGGCGTCTTCAGGGTGAACCAGATTTTTTTTACTCCTTGCTTGGATCTCTAGGCGTCTTTAGTTGAAATCCATGAAAAAATTTGGCCTTTTTACACAAATATCACCTTAACATAAATTAATTACTTGTTAGGCACTGTTTAAGAATATTTTTCAGATCAAGTAAATTTTTAAATACTTTCTATAAAATTAATCATATTTTGTTAGTATTTTATTTAATTATTTAATTATTTAATTTTTTTATTATTTTATTTAATTATTTTATTTTTTTTACAGTTATAAAATAGAAAGTGGTCCTTGAATAATTATATTCGGATTTCTCGGCTTTTAAACTTTTCTCTCGGCTATAAATACGCTCTCAACACGTGGATATCTATACTGAAGCAACGACATTCTTCTAGTTTAGAGGATTGATGTGAATGTTTACAGGTTGAGAGCGTATTTACAGCCGAGAGAAAAGTTTAAAAGCCGAGAAATACGAATATAATTATTCAAGGACCACTTTCCAATTTATAATTGTAAAAAAAATAAAATAATTAAATAAAATAATAAAAAATTAAATAATAAAATAATTAATACAAAATATGATTAAATTTATAGAAAGTATTTAAAAATTTGTTAGATCCGTAAAATATTCTTAAACAATGCTTAACAAGTAATCAATTTATGTTAAGGTGATATTTGTGTAAAAAAGCCAAATTTTTTAATGAATTCCACTAAAGACGCCTAGAGATCCCAATAAATAATCTAAAAATCTGATTAACCCTGAAGACGCCGAGAGATCCCAAATTTACTGTAGAAAACACCCTATTTGAGGAATTAATCGGATGAACACTTTAGTTTGGGAATTAAAAATTCCCTGTAGTATTATATGAGAACTTTTGCCCGTTAATTAATGGCGTTAAGAACCGTCAAAATCCAGCACTGAAATTTATGAAAAGAATCACACGTGGCACAGAAATGGCTCCACCAGCGAGGCTGCCGTCGTTAATGTGGACCCCAGAATCCCATTTCCGACCAAATTAATCTACATTTTAACTTTTATTAATCAATATTTTATCTTTTACAGTTTTATAATTCAATCCCTAATCTTTTCTCCCACTATTCAATTCAGGACATTCCTTACTTTTAATATAACGTTGAAGAAGAAATTTCCAGGTAATTGAAAAAGGGAGATAAAAAAACCAAAAGAAATAAAGAAAGAACCAAACACAACAGTTTCTTCAAGGAATTGGCTTTGGATGCTTACTTGATCGAGTAATTTTAATATTCAAAGTAAAGATCTTGTTTTAAGAGGAAGGCTTTGCTTGGGTTTCAAGGGGAAATCTTCAAAAACAGATGGGTGGTGTAGGTGCTGCTTTTATTCTCCGTGGAGAAACTAAAGGCGCGCTCTTTTTTCTTTTCCTTTTGCTGTATAAATTTGTTTGAGACGTCGATTATACTGTCAATTACTTGAATTGAGGATGTTTTTTTTATATAAAAAAGATCAGGAGTTCAATTCGATGTCTGGCGAGAATTTTTTAAGCGGGGTTTGTGAAATATTGATGGGTTTTTGTATTTGATACAAAATTTGATTATTGTAATCTGTTTTATGTGCTAAAAGCTTGAACTTTATTTCTTATGGATTAGTACTTGATGATCATATTGTGTATATATTTCGTATTAGATATTTGTCCTTTGGATCTAATTTAATGTTCTGTTAACGTTAATGTCCTCGTTCATTTTTTCTTGTAGATTTTGTATAGTTGAAGCAGTATGAAGACTAGAATAACGATTGAAAAGCGTAGGAGTGGAGTTAAGTGTGTTTTCGGGGCAGAAAGTGAAGTGTTTATGCACTGGTGAGCAATTAAGAAAAGAAGACAAAATGATATCAGAATCCCTTGCTGCCGAACATCATTCACTGAGTGGTTACTCTTCCAAAGTTAGTGATAGTGAGAAAAATCCAGATATTAGTAATATAGAAGAAGTTGAATTGTCTCTGCGTGAAAGTAGCTCACTGAATTATGAGGTTAGCTACTTCATTCCTTTCGGATTCCAAGTTGGTTTTTGTGGTAGTTTTGTTCGTGGGGTCTGTATTATTGTTTTGAAAGTTGGTGGTGGCACAATGACTTATGTATATATCTTTTAAAAGTAACCTCATGAGTCATGACTTCTCAAATCTGGTTTGGGTGGGTCTGATGTCTATTCAAGCCTTTGTTTAGGTGATTTTCAGGTCTTCTCATTCGTTTATAAGAATTTATATGTTGAAAAAAATATTAATGTGGTGATACCTCTGGTTCACTTTGTTATGGCTTAGACTTGAAGTTATTAGTTTAACTTCAAATGCCATACTCTTTTCTCTTTGATGATGTAAACTCCGAAATTATGCAGATTCTACTTGGTCATATTGTCCTAATAAAAGCCGGAAGTTGTCCATTCTTATAAAGCCTTTTGATGAGTAACTGGTTAACACTTGAAATTGCTTTAATTAGGGGCATTTCTTCTTTTAGCTCGTAAATTATTGTTTCCATGCTATATTATTGCTTCTTGCATTCCTAGGTCACTTGTTATTTGTCATGGTACTCGTGTATCCTTACCCTTGTCAACGTTGAATGTAAGAAACTGATCACAGTATATTCATCTGAAGTTTGCAGTTCGTTATGCTGTCTATTTCGATGATTATACAAGTGCTTTTATTTGTTTTCTTTTCCTCTGAGGTGTTTGCAATTTGCAGGAAGCTAGAGCATTGCTGGGAAGAATTGAATATCAGAAAGGAAATATAGAAGCTGCATTACATGTGTTTGGTGGAATCGATATTGCAGCAATAACTCCCAAAATGAAAATTACACTTTCAAGAAGAGTAGAAAGGCGAAAGAGACGATCTCATGACTATGCTCCTCCACAAATGTCTATCCATGTTGTTAGCCTACTACTAGAAGCAATATTTCTCAAAGCAAAATCATTACAGCATCTGCATAGGTTTAGAGGTAATGTTTTATGTATTAGTACACAGATCTCACATCAACTCTGTTATTGTATGGATGAAGTAAGTCATAATTAAGTGCTCTGTTGACTTGCACTAAATTATTCATTATAATATTGATATTATAATAGTTAATATATGAGAGTAAAGTGATAAACATTTGCAGTATATGTGTATTATTGTTATTAAAATGCCTGCTTCGCTTGAAATTATATGCTACAGATTTGCTTTAACAACCTTTCTGTTACAGTGATTGGCATCTTTCCAAATTCCTAGTTTCCCGCAATTTTTCACCTAGAGCACTGTTATGAAACCTAGGTTCTATGCTTTTTTTCTTATGTTTTATGGTATAAGCTTCTTTGCAATTTGGAATGTGACCCGTCAGGCGTCAAGTATGTTATCATTAACTACATATTCAACAGATGCCCTTCATTTTTATCATTGAGCACAATTCAATCATCACTGCATGGCTAATTTACATTTCCAATCATTCTTGCAGAAGCTGCTCAGACCTGCAAAGTTATTCTAGATATAGTTGAATCTTCAATACCACAAGGCTTGCCTGAAAACTTTGGTGCTGACTGTAAATTGAATGAGACTCTAAGCGCAGCAGTTGAGCTGCTTCCGGAATTATGGAAATGTAGTGATTCTCCACGTGAAGCAATCTCGTCCTACCGACGGGCTCTTTTTTATCAGTGGAATCTTGATGCTGAAACCACTGCAAGGATTCAGAAACAGTTTGCCATTTTTCTTCTGTATTATGGAGGTGAAGCGGGGCCTCCAGACCTCCGGTCACAGATGGACACTTCCTTTGTCCCTAGAAATAACATAGAGGAAGCTATACTCTTGTTAATGATACTACTCAGAAAATTTTCTTTGAAAAGAATTGAATGGGATCCATCAATACTGGATCATCTATCATTTGCTCTCTCGTTGTCTGGGGATTTGAGGGCTTTGGCTAACCAAATAGAAGAAATGCTTCCAGGGGTTATTAGTCGCAAAGAAAGATACCATTATATAGCTCTATGTTACTATGGAGCAGGTGAAGATTTGGTTGCTTTGAATCTATTGCGGAAATTGTTTAGTGTAGAGGATCCACATTGTGTTCCAGCATTGTTAATGGCATCAAGAATTTGTGGGGAAAAACCTAATCTTGCAGAACAAGGGATTAATTTTGCTCGTAGAGCCCTTGAAAGCCTGGATGATAAATGCAGTGAGTTGGAAGGTACCGGTAACTACTTATTAGGTGTGGCGCATACAACAAATTCGAAGTCAGCAGTATCAGATTTTGAGAAGGTTGCCAGACAGTCTGAGGCCCTTCAGGCCTTGAAAAGGGCTGGGAATATTACAAGTATGAAGGACCCTAACATTCTTTATCATCTCAGCCTGCAAAATGCCGAGCAGAGAAAGTTGGAAGCTGCACTTTATTACGCAAAGTCATTGCTAAAACTTGAAGGTGGTTCTAACATTAAAGGGTGGTTGTTATTGGTCCGCGTATTGTCAGCCCAAAAACGTTTTGTGGATAGTGAAACCATTCTCGATGCTGCCTTGGATCAAACTGGCAAATGGGACCAAGGAGAACTATTGCACACCAAAGCTAAGCTTCAAACTGCACAGGGACATCTCAAGGACGCGGTTGACACATATACTCAACTTCTAGGCATTCTTCATGTACAGAGTAAAAGCTTCAGTTCTGGGAAGAAGCTTTATAAGGTCCGTTAGTTGTTTAGTATTCCTATGCATTATCTACAGCTGCAGTTGATTTCTGTCACAGAATAATCTAAAAGGTTTTTCATACTAAGTTGACTTTAGGAGATGCATCAGTTTTTGTTATTTAGATTGATAGATTTCAGATATGATTATTGGAAACAATCTTTGTTGCCAGTATGACTTGCCATTTCACGGATCCCCGTGCATGATACAAATTTGAGGCTTGATACTGTCAGAGTGGGTAAGTTGTGAGCTGCTGCTTAGAACAGGAAATCAGAGTTTGAAGTTGGAGTGTTAATGCTCTTCTGTCATTTTTTGGGAAGAAAACTTACTGAGAAACAATTTTAAAAGCGGCTGACCTTTTTGAATAATTGTTTACAGGATCGTGGATGCTTTTCTAGAAGTTTTGAACAGGAAATATGGCATGATCTAGCTTATCTCTACATAAGCTTGTCACGATGGCAAGATGCCGAGATTTGTCTTTCAAAATCCAAGGCCATCAGTTCTTTCTCTGCTGTTAGAGATCATGCCACTGGTAAGTTAGTAGTCCATTTGTTTATCTTATTTTCATGATATTATATGGTACTAGAAAATTTCCTGTTGTACGCCTAGTTTACACATTTTCATGTATAAGCTCGAGTGTTTCAAAATCTTTTCCTTCTTAATCTTTCTAAAAGTAAAGAGGGAATTATGTCAAAGAAGCCGCGTTAGTTTTTCTTTAATTTTTGGGATAAATCAGCACCATCCATATACTCGTAATACGATCCTTATCATAAATGAAGCATTGAAAAATTAGTGCAGTATGGTGTTAATCTTGTTGAGGTGGAAATAAACCAGCAAGTGAAGGGTTCAAGACAATTTTGTTTTGCAGGTGTACTTTATGAAAGAAAAGGCTTACTAAAAGAAGCTCTCAACGCTTTTTGGAGCGCTTTGGATATCGATCCTGATCATGCCCCAAGCTTGATATCTGCAGCTGACCTTCTCATGCAACTCGGGAGCCAATCCGATGCAGTTGTAAGAAACTTGCTGATGAATGCTCTCCGAGTCGATAGAATGAATCCCTCGGCATGGTATAATCTCGGTCTGCTTCTCAAAGCTGAAAACACTCCATCTTCGCTGGAAGAAGCAGCCGAATGTTTTCAGGCTGCTGCCATTCTTGAAGACTCGGCACCTGCCTGTTGATTCCTTCATAAAAACAGCCCTATGCTGCTAAGCCCTATTCTAGTTCCTTGTAAATATCATAAACGAGTCTCAATATACCGATACTTGTACATTGTTCTATGTTCTTTTATCTCGTGAATTTGCACATCAAATTCATAAAGCTTTCAAGTCAAAGCGAATAGCACTTCATAATTTATGAAAGGATATTCACATGAGAAAAATATCAAATATTACCAGAGATCAATGTTGGTGTTTTTTTCCCTATGAAAGCTGGATTGATGGATGATGTTTCGTAATAATGCTGGTGTGTCCAGGTTTACACATTCACCTACAATACAAAAAAAATGAAGAAATTAAGACAATGACACACTGACAAGAGAACAAACAAACTCAATATTGCAAGAAATAAACTGACAAAAAGGTTTACCATTTCGTTCAGGACATAATAGGTTAATATACTCGGAATAAGTCTTCTTATTTGGAAAAACCTTCCATTTATTTTCTCCAGCAACCTGAATTTTTTTTCTCCATTTATTGTTCACTGCAGCCAACGAGAGAGAGAGATGGAGAGTGGGAAGAGAGCTGAAGCTGGTTTCTCAAGAGGTTTTAGTGAGGAGAGGAAAGAGAGAGAACAAAGGGAAGTGTGTCAGAAACCCTTTTCTCTTGAAGCTTGTGATGATCCTGAAGATGAAGATGACGAGGAAGATGGTGTTGGAGCTTCGTCTGGTTTTGTCCCTAGTTCTCTTGTTTCTCTCAAGGAACAGATTGAAAAGGACAAGGTCATTCTTTTGTCTTTCTTCCATTTTCTATCTTTTGTCTGGAATTTTTTTAGTTGAATTCCGTGACGGGTTCTTTCAAATACATCCAAAAATATAGATTTTTTCTTTCTTTCTTTCTTCATCTCCACTATGCTGCTGTTTGGTTGGAAGTGACAGTAGAAAAGATATTTACTTTTTAAGCTAATCAAAGTAATTCTTTCTTAACCTATGTAGTTTATAGATTAAACTATGCATCCTTACTCAAAAAACTACTTGGTACTTGTGATCTTTCTTGAGTCACCTTTTAGTCCAGCAAAGTTCATTGCCTGAGTTGGTTTAGATTGCCGATTTCTTGGTTTCTGGATTGTTTTTTTTTCTCAGTTTACTCTGTTTGCAGTATCTGGATTCTTAGTTCACTTTCCTCAACAACATTATATCAAAGTTTTATGACATTTTCAGATTGTTTTAGTTAACCTAGTGCCTCTTGAAGGTTTATTTCTGCTCTGCGATGCCAATGAAACATGTAGGCTCTCCTTGATTGTTAGCTAGGTATCTTTTCAGGGATTTCCCTTTACAAATTGTCGAAAGATTCGGTTCATTAGAATCCGTCAATTCGGCACTTAATTATGCTCTTGCAGGATGATGAGAGCTTGAGGAGATGGAAGGAGAAGCTTCTTGGTTGTGTTGAAGGAGACTTAAATGGTATCTGTTTGAGTGCATTATTTTCTGGGCTTTAATCCGATCGTCATCTTTATCTTAATGTTTTGAATTTTATGATTGACTAGGCCAAATGGAACCTCAAGTCAAATTCCACTCCATAGGAATGATTTCTAATGACCTTGGGGAAGTTAACTATCCCTTGCCGATTGATGGGGATCAGGATGGTCATGTCCTGTTTACTCTCAAAGAAGGATCCCTGTATCAACTTAAGTTGACATTCAGTGTTCTGCACAACATCGTTTCCGGCTTAACATACTCCAACGCGGTGTGGAAGGCGGGAGTTCAAGGTGAAGAATCATCTCTCTCTCTCTTTCCATTTAAGTTGATTGATTATGTTCCTAACGGCGTAACTATGAGCCGCTGGCATCGAATAAGCCTCTAATTGCATGGCCGAAATTTGATTCGGGAGTTTTGGTTAGCAAGTGGTTTGAGTACTATTTCTATGTAGTCTTCATTGAATATACGAAGCTCTCGATAGGCCTACTAGCGGGCATAGGCTCGTGTGATCAGAACAAACTGATGTTTTTCGATTCATAATAACTGTTGTTTTGATGGGTGATGGTTTTATTTTGATTTATTGCTTTATCTTCAGTTGATCGAAACGGAGGAATGCTGAGCACTTTTGCTCCTCAACGAGAACCATATGTGCATATTTTCGATGAAGAGACTACACCATCCGGGGTGGGCAAAACTTTCGAGATAATGTTTTGGAAAAAATTAATTCACGAGATAAAGCACTCCCAAAATTAATTGTTCAAATAAGGTGAAATCCATAGTGTTGGCCGTAGGTCGCCATGCCTTCCGGGCGACCTACTAGGTCGCTATGTCTTTCCGGTGAGCTACAAGAGATTGCATGTGCCATGCACGTCCCAACACGCTGGGCATCCGAGGCCATCCGAGAGCATCCGAGGCCATCCGACCGAGGCCATCCGAACGAGCTATGCGAGGGCATCCGATGGCAACCGAGTGAGCTATGCGAGGGAATCCGAGGGAAGCCGAGTGAGGGTAGGTCGCCCGGAGCGCATGGCGACCTACAAGGTCGCCCGGAGGGCATGGCGACCTACAAGGTCGCCCGGAGGGCATGGCGACCTATGTGTTGGGACGTGCATGTACCATGCAATACGTTCATTCTCTCTGTTTGAGCAAGGGTAGGTCGCCCGGAGTGCATGGCGACCTACAAGATTGCTCGGAGTGCATGGCGACCTACGGCCAACACTGTGGATTTCACCCTATTTGAGCAATTAATCTTGGGAGTGCATTAGCTCGTGAATTAATTTCTTTCAGAACATTATCTCGAATGTTTTGCCTCCGGGGTGCTTGCAAGGGGAACTTACTCTGCAAATCCCAAGGTATGTATGTTTGCATAAACCCTGAAATCTATGCCTAACCGGACGTATAAAGCAAGATTATGATGTTTAGCAACAGATTTTGTATTGTTAAATCTTGATCGACTTAAAACCGAAAAAGTTCATCTTGGTTACAAATCTGAAATGCCAGTTTTTGAGATGGATATAGTCATGTGTAGATATAGATGTGCTAACAAGGATCTGTGTTTTGCTTCTCGGCTTCTCCATTGTTCTTGACTTTAGACATGGTTTCGCGACAACATATCGTGAACCTTAAATCGAGTAAACAGATATCGTCTTTTACGTTGTCAATACACCTAAAAAGTGCTACTTTTCTGTGTATGAATATCAGTATCTAATACCTTCTTGAAGGTTTGTAGTTGCATGAAACAATTGGATCGAGTCTGAGTTTTTCCTTGACCGTTTAAGGCGTCTGATAACTAGTGATCGTATGAATTTCGTACTTTCATGCAGTTTGAAGACGATGGCAAAAGATGTCACATGGAACTCAAATACTCCTTTGAGATAAAGAATAGCAGCTAGGCAGCCGAGTTTCGAAAGAGTTATGTATGTTGTTTTCTCCCTGTTCGATCTCGTTCGGTTTTTCGAGTGATTAGATTACTGCAATATTAGCTGATCGGTATTTATCGACATTGCAGTACTGTAATTCGAAGATGGATCAAAGGAAGAACTGTGGATGGTGACTCGAAACTGTCTTATATTGCCTGAGTACTCTAAACTCATGTCTAATGCTATGATTGGATACATAAATTTAAAACATTGGATTTTGGTTTAATTTGTCATATAAATCATGAGGATGAGGTGTTGTTTAAAATTAGTTAATTTTTTTTTAATTTCGAGTGATTGTAAGATAATATATATTCTAAAAACATTAAAAGCAAATATCTAACAAATTTGAAAAATAATCATAATTATTATATTTATTCGTGCTTTTACGATTTATTAGAACAAGACATCTTGAGATTTATTACTATAATTTTATACATCGTCATGAATTCAAAATCTTTACATAATAATATATCTAATTATAATTTTTCCTATTTCAAAGAAAATTATAATTTTTCCTATTTCAAAGAAAATTATAATTTTGCTTTTTATCATTTAGGTTCTAATCTATTTTCCCATGTTTTATTTTTTTAAGATTTAGTTAAATTATTTTTTAAATAAAAATTAATCAAATTATTAAAAATTTAACGGTATTGACTTGATTGATTAAGGATAATATCGAACTTCATTCTTTTTCTTTTTCACATTCAATCATGTTTTCCTTATTTATGTAAAATAAATTGATAGATTAATATTAGTTATTAATTAATATAGCGAGATGAAATATTAATTTTTTAAAAATAAATTTTAATATTTAATATTATAGAAAAAATTAATCTGGAAATATTACCACTTATAAAAAAGTTTTTATAAAATGGAAAAGAGTGAATAAATAAATACGCGGGAAAACTTTGTTGTCATATGAGTAATAGTTTCAAAATCAACGAGGAAAGGCGGGACATTATTAAAACCCCCAACAAAACTCCTAATTTGACAAATCACGGCCGTCCACGTGTATCTATATCCTCACACGTCAGTTCATTTCTAAAGATCTCTCCATAAACCTCGAACCAGTCCCAGTCCCTGAAAAAAAACCTCTTAATAACGAGCCCTTTCCTTTTTCATTTCTCGATTTCCCCTTGCTTTTGAGCAAATAATGACCCTTTCGACTAAGCAGGGTGTTAGTAGAGCTATGAATCCTTGGGTTCTTCATCTTCAAAAATTGAGTCTGGAACTTAAATGTCCTCTCTGGTTCGTTTTCTCTCATTGTGCTGTGTTTTCTTTATTTTTTTGAGGTTTTAAAGTTGATATTATTTAAAAATGTTATTTTGACAGTTTGAATTTGTTTAAACGTCCATTGTTGATGCCGTGTGACCATCTGTTTTGCGAGTTAGTGCCATTTCTCCTTCTATCTTTATCTTCGTCTATGAAAGTGTTGATTTTCATTGCTTACTTTTATTTTCTTTTTTGAAATCGTTACAGTACGTGCATAGCCAGGACTGAGTTTGGCTCAGAGTGCCCTATTTGCAAAACCCAATCTGCAGATCGTGGTATTTTTTATTTAATTACTTATATTTTTCTTTTTTCTTTTTTTTCTAAAACGTTGTTGGGAGCTAAATAAGGTTAATATCTGGATTGTCTTATTTCTAAATCCTATTAATTTTGTGGGTTTGGTTCGATTCCATCGATGGTTTAAAATGTTGGATTGATTTCGGTTTCATGTATTCGTATTCTGGATTCTCGTTTAGATATTTTTGGGTTTTGTTAATTTGAATTTCGCATTTGGATGATCAGTTCTCTGCTTTTCCAAGACTTATAGGAAATTACTTATTGTTTTGTACGAGTTTCGTTTTATAGCTGAAAAAGACTATGCTGCTTGCAGATCTAAGGCCTGTGACCTTCATGGAGAATATAGTGGGCATTTTTAGAAGTTTGGATGCCGCATTTACTGCAAATCTTTATCCTTCTCCTGAAGACTATGTTGGTAAAAATGATAAATTTTATAAGTGCATCACTCAAAGGTGTATTGGAGATAAAGGGTATGAGACTCCTAAAAAAGATGGGACTGCATTCGATAGTTCTAGGAATGTTGGTTTGCATATTAATCAAGTTGATCAAACATCTTTTGGCCCTTCTTCCTGTGGCGATATGAAGGCTTCTGATACTGATAGTGAACATGTAAGAGTTTGCCTTTCTTCTAATCACATTATGCTTGTAGTTGTATGGTTGGAAATCATTGCTGGTTCTTCCTAATTACTTTTGCTCATAGTAAACTGTCACTTGTCTGTTCTGTGTTTCCCCATATGACTCGTCACTTGGTGTTAGGCTGCTCAATTTTATACTATTATTTTTCAGAGTCTCGGTAACAATTCAGCCAAGGGAGTTGGCAAGAGAAATTTTGATGATATGACAAGTCAAAAACAGTACAATTCTGTTTTAGGGATTGATGGTCAATTTTGTGATTCCAAGAGTCAGAAGAGGTTGAACTGTGAACAATTAGGTATGGTTGTCAAACCTATGGATCATTGTCAGCCAGTTCAGAAGGCTCAAAACATAGTAACTTTTGATTGTCAATTAGGATCTCAAATTGAACCAGCTCTTGCTGGTACAAATCTGCCTGTGACATCAGACAACATGTGTGGGAATAGAGCCATTTGTGGATTTTGCCAGTCCTCTCAAATCTCTGAGGTAGATTCCTGCCGATATTATTTGATTACTCCTTTTATTGAAAATTTTCTTTATAAATTTTTTTTATTAAACATTTTCAGGCCACTGGAATGATGCTACATTATCTCAACAGAAAACCAGTTACAGGAGATGCATCGTTCAGCTCAAATGTTATTCATGTTCACAGCTTGTGTATTGAATGGTATCTTTCTGGAAAATTTAAATTGTAGAATATTTAAGTAAAAGGGAAATTATGGGTTTTTGCTGGGGAGGCTGGGAATTTTAGCGAAACCTGTTTATATACTGTTTGATTACGTTTCATTTTGATACAGTAACTTTTTATTTCTGTTGTTTTCTTGCTGCTAGAAATCCACTGATATTGTCTTAAAATACAGGGCGCCTCAAGTGTATTATGTTGGCGAAACTGTTAAGAATCTTAAGGCAGAACTTGCAAGGGGTGCAAAGCTGAAGTGCAGCAAATGTGGGGAAAAGGGAGCAGCACTTGGTTGTTATGTGAAGTCCTGCCGCAGAAGTTATCATTTCCCTTGTGCAAAAGAGATTCCAAAATGTCGATGGGATCAAGTAATTGCATTTGTACCATATTTTATATGAGATATGGTTTTATTCTGTGACGATTTGCCTTTGCTCATAATTTTGCTCATAATTATGGTTTTATTCACATGACAATTTTTGCTCATAATTTTTTTCTTTCATCTTATAGGATGACTTTCTCGTGCTTTGTCCTGCCCATTCTTCTGTTAAGTTTCCAAGCGAGAAGTCTGGAAATGCCCATTCTTCATCCAAGTTATTGAATGAGAAGTCTGGAAATTGTTTGCCTGCTAATGATGGCATGCCAACTGAAAGGTAATTAATCAATGGAAACATCTTAGATATCTTTCTCAGGTATATACCTTTGCATACTTTTTGAAGGAGTTGCTATTTTATTCTTCATTTTCTTTTACTTTAGAAGAAAAAACGGCAAAAGAAGCCAAATTATTTGAAATTGTATTTTTTTCTAGTTCCCCCCCTTGTCATGGAGAAAGTCTTAAACTGGTTATTGAATTGTCTGAAGAGTGATCTGATTGTAATTCTGCATGCAGTGGCCAGTTGAAATCCAACACTTTTTGGGGCCAGCCAGATAATAAAAAAAACTGGGTTTTCTGTGGATCTGCTTTGCTTCCCGAGGAGAAGGTCAGTTTAGATAAAACTCATTTTTTGTTTTGGACCCATTTATAAGCTTTGATTAGTTCTTTTTTAAGTATTGTATCTTTGAATTGTTTGTGTTTTTATCGTGTTGAAAGGTGAAACTGATATTTTTCAAGCATTGATTTCTTTTAATCGATCTTTTTGGCGTTAGAAACGGACACATAGTATCAAACTTGGAGATTCTTTCATTTATAGGGTATCCTTAAATATGCCTTTTCTTTTCACAACAATGTACTCTCATTGTATATATTTATTGTTTTACCTTGTTGCAGTTCCTTTTGATCAAGTTTGCGAACATGATTGGTGTAACTGTATCCAAGTTTTGGAAGCCGGATGTCACTCATGTGATTGCTTCTACAGATGGGAACGGTGCATACACCAGGACACTTAAAGTTCTCATGGCCATTTCAAACGGGAAGTGGGTTCTTAATATAAATTGTATGTTCAATTGTTCCTTTTTCCACTCTATATCCATATGCATCTTTTTCTTTTCCTTTGTCGAATGTGTGCTGGTTAAAGTTCAATCACTACTCAAACAATCAGTTGTATTTTCACCACTGATATGTAAGCTTAACATTACAGGGGTAAAGGAGTTCTTGAAAGCCATGCATCCTTTGAGTGAGGAACCTTATGAAGTTACTCTCGACAACCATGGGTGTCGTGATGGCCCTAAAACGGGTAGACTCAGGGTATTGAATGATGTAAGTCTTTCTTCCTTTATGGATTGAAGTCTGCTCATTTTTAAAGTCGGCAACACTATTAATTTTGCAAGCAACTTGTTTCTCTTGCAGGCACCAAAACTCTTTGATGGATTTAACTTTTATTTTGCGGGTGATTTTATGTCTGGTTACAAGGAAGATCTTCAAAATCTAGTTGTCAATGCAGGCGGTTCTGTTTTGATGAGAGTGGAGGAACTAATTGAACATAATAATTGCGGTGATCAGACAACTCAAGCAAAGATGGTTGTTGTGTATAACCTTGATGTCCCCCAAGGATCCGAGTTAGGAGAAGAAGTTTCAATTATTTGGCAGAGGGTTAGTGAAGCACAGGATTTAGCCACAAAAATAAGTGGACAAGTCGTTGGTCACACATGGCTTTTAGAATCAATTGCAGCATGTAAATTGCAGCCTTTTGTCAAATAACCAAAGATTGAAAACTTTTATCCTTTTTAGCTAGAAAATGACCAGTAATTTTCTCAACCTTTACTTGTTTTAGAAGTTAGAACTTGCCTTGGAGTCTTTCTTTTGTATTTAATTTACACATGTAGTTTATCTTTGAATTTAGATTGGAATAAGACATACGAGCTTATTTCTGACTTCTATAATACATTAACAGCCGTGAATTGAATTTTCATTTTGCATCATTGTAAGAAGAAATTACATTAGATATTATTAACTTGTGCCAGCCTTCAAGGCCTCGACTAAGCTTGAAGCTTTATTCGGTGAATCATCCATAGCTTCGCGCAAGTCACTTTCGGATTGTTTCACTTCTGCGTTATAAACAAAAAGTCTTGCCACAACCAAGAAGAAGATGAAGCTTAAGAAGCCTAGGACTGCCAAGAAGGCAAAATAATAGTCTAGGCGAGAGATGTTGAGGTTGTTCAAGATCCATCCTCTATGTCCATGCCTCTTGGTCATATCCGAAACTGTCGTCAAAACAAAAGTACTGAAGAAATGCCCGATCCTGATGCTGCTACTGTAATACGAGGTTCCAAGGCTTTTCATTCCCTCTGGTGCTTGATCATAGAAGAATTCTAGCTTTGCAACTTCTGCAAATGCATCATACACCCCTGCCAAGGCAAACTGGGGCAGAAGTATGAAAATACTGAGAGGAACAGTGTCATATATACCGAGTTTCTGATGATCTTGAGCAACGTTGAGTCTCTTACTTTCAACAAAACAAGCAATTATCATAATGATGATCTGCAACATAAAACCTATTCCCATTCTTTGAAGCAATGTGATCCCTCTGGGATTTTTGGTGTAACGCCTCATTATTGGGACGAAGCAGCTGTCATATATCGGAATGGTGATCAACATGAAGATTGTAACAAATGCAGAGAGACAAGCTGGTGGGATATCGAAATGAGGACCCATACTACGATCAAGGGTGGTTCCTAGTTTGACAAACAATGTTCCACCTTGCGCTATTAGGGTGCTTGGTATGAATGTTGCCACCAAAATGGGGATCATTTTTATCATCTGCTTGGTTTCTTCGACTTGAGTCACTGGAACAGCATCCATTCCGAGGTTGGTCCGCTCTTTACCGCAGCTTTGTCTAGGAATCTGCAAAGAAAATGCAGAGAAATCAGTCAATCTTAATGAAGTTTTTATGAAAAGTGTTTAAAGTAGAGAGAATCAATCAACCTTAACGAAGGGGTGTGATCGATTCTGAATTTCTTAGATTTTGAGTATTCTTCCAAGCTAAGCTCATGTAGCTCTTTTGGGTCGGTCGGAACCGGCACATTCCGTTTCCTAACAGCAGCAACAAGCACTTGGAAAATCCTAGTAAAAGGACTACCCGAAGGCAATTTGTGTCTATAAAATGGAGTTCCCATCAAGAACACCAAGACAGAGACCAAGAGACCAATTGTTGGAAGGCCATAACCAAGACTCCACCCCACATTGTCTTGTATGTAGATCAAGAAAGTGTTGGAAAAGAGGGTGCCAAAGAAAATGCTAAACATCCACCAGTTGAAGAAGGATAGCTTTTTAACCCTTTCCTTCGGCTCAAAGTCGTCGAACTGGTCTGCACCCATGGTGGATATGTTAGGCTTAGTGCCACCGGTTCCTATGGTGATTATGTATAGTGCACAGTAGAATACTCCTTGGAAAGCTGAAGCTCGTTTGTCGCAGTTCACTCCTTTGTGCCCATGATCGCACGATGGAGGCCTCAAGGCAGGCACCGAAACTGCTAGGGTTAAGAGGGTCATTCCCTGTTTATTTTCCCATAGATGTTAGAACAAAATAATTATCATCATCATCATCCATCTAATATTGAATGAAAATTATGGATTACTTGTGATAGAGGTAACTGAAATGACTTAAAAGATTCATCTATGCAATCAATAAGGTTATGGTAAAGAAAAAAGAACCCTAAAGTCATGGGACACGCAGGAAGTTAACGTCAAGTCGTCAACTGCATTAATATGACAATCAAACAGTGTCCGGTTTCATAATAAAACCGTGTCTCAGTATCGTAAAACACTTGTTCCCCACAACTAAAAAATTATCAGTAATTCATGTATCAGTATACGTGTCCGATTATGCATGGATCATGCTTGATTGCTTGGCCATTGACGAACACACCAGCCAGATATCAAATGAGTCTGATAAATACATGTATATACGTTTTAAAAGAAGTAGTATACGTACAGTGAGATAAATGGCAGATGAAATAACAAAAGTCCAGTAGCGACCGAGATGAGCATCGGCAATGTAAGCGCCTAAAATAGGTGTCATCCACACAGTTCCAACCCAGTTGGTGACGTTGTTTGATGATTTTACCGTTCCTTCACGGAGCTCCCTCGTCAGATACAGCACTAGGTTCGACGCTATTCCGTAATACGCCATCCTCTCGAGCACTTCGTATCCTGCCATATAAGAAAGATAAATGGAACCACTAGTAGCGGATCTAAAAATATTTTTGAGAGTGACCATATGTATGCGTTTAGATTTCTCTCAAATACAACATATACATATATAGCATTGATTTTGTGATATATATATATACACACACTTCTTACCAACAATGAAAGAACAAGCTTTCCATATCTACCAGTGTTTGATCTCAAGACAGGCCTCCCTTTGAGATCAACAGTTCCATCATCAGTATAGTCATCATCTCTTCCATCTGCAGATCCTTTTTCTTCTGCTAATACCCTTGTCATCATGAAGAGGGCAAATAAGGGCTTTGTTTGTAGGTGTAATCAAAGATCATGTGATAACCCATCACTTTATATTAAGTTGAGAGGAGATTGTTCAACAACCTCTAACTTTCCAACCCAACGATATCTATGTAGTAACGAGTTTAAAAGCACAATTATTAATTTCCCACTCGGCTGACAGTAACGGGGCACAGTGGCAGGTACAATGACATTATCGAATGAAATCGTACACTAAAACAGAGTAATTCCTAATAAGATATTCCATTTCTTCATTTTTTCTGAAGATACTAATTTTTTATCCATATTATTATTATTATTATTATTATTATTATTATTATCATATTATTATTATTAATATTATTATTATTATTATTATTATTATTACTATTATCATTATTATTATTATTATTATTATTATTATTACTATTATTATTAAATATATTAAATACATATAAATATTATTATTATTAAATATATTAAAAAATAATAATTACAGGCCCAATTACAATTGGACCGACCCAGTTACAAACCAACCAGAACCGGTCCAAATCCAACCAGAAACCCTAAATATTTGGGTTTCCAGTTAGGGTTTCCTAACCCTAATTTGATCAGCCGCCTCAGCTCACAGCCGTTGGATCTGATAAGATCCAACGGTCCAGATGGTGCCAGAAGGAAACCCTAGGGTTTGATACCCTAGGGCCACGCGGCGCCGCTCCAGCTTCCACGCGGCTGCCGACAGCCCTCGCCGCCTCCGCCGCTGCCACGTCCCAACCGAAGACTCCAGAAGATCATATACCAGCCGTCCATGCAAGGCTACGGGGTGAGTCACCACTGGTAGTCCGGTGACTCACCGAGGCCCCCTCTTCGGACCGGTCTGAGACGAACACCGGTGGTGGCTATAAAAGCCACCACCCCATCTGCGAAGAAAAAAAAAAGAGAGGACAGAAACTAGAAACAGAGAACGGAGAAGAAAAAGACAGAGAAAAGAAAAAAAAAACAAACTAATACCAACGATCTCAGCAGCAAAGAACCAGAAGAAAAAAAAAGAGAAAAAAGAAGAAGAAGAGACTTACCGAGGAAGCGTCGACCACCGGATCTCGTCAGAACCTTCGAAACATCGAAGGTATTTTTATAAGATTTGCTCCGATTAGGAGCCTTTTAAAGGAAGAGAACACCGGATGCGGTGGCCGGCGGTGATATTCACAGCGGCCCACGGTGGCCGACCGGTAACCGGCTTCCCTCTGATGAGGGAAGCTAGAGAGAAGGCAGAGAGTTTAAAACTCTCTCAGTGAAGAGAGAGAGAAGAAAATGGAAAATGAAGGTTGGCCCTTCGGGCCAGCCGGTTTTGGACTCTTATAGTCCTTCCCGAACGACGTCGTTTCGGGAAGGACTATGCGCGTAATTATGAAATAGTTAAACCCCGTCTGCAGTCCCTCGTACTTGTAAATGTTTTATTTTGATCACTAAACTGAATTTATAATAATTTTAATTCAGTCTTTGATTTTTAATTTTATTCATTTTAGTCCCTTTTATTAAAATAATATATTTAAGATAAATGACAGATTTAATCCCTTAATTTTAATAAATAATATTTTAATCCTTAGTTTATATTTTTAATTTATTTTATTATAATATCCGAATTTTAGATAATTTTATTTTAGTCACTAAATTATTAAATAAGAAAATAGCATGTTTAATCCCTATAATTTTGGTTAATTATAAATTAGATTTTTAATTTTATTTTTACTGTAATTTAGTCAGTTATTTTATATGTTTTCATTTATTTTATTGTTTTTAAATATATTGTTTTAGTAGTATGTTTATTTATATGAATAAATATTTTTTCATATATATATAATAAATAGTAATTTTTAAATATTTATTTTAATATCGAAGAAAAGGACAGTCTTAAAACAACTGGATGTTCTATTCTGATGTTTTAAAATTAAAAATTAAACAATATTATTTAAAATTTATCAATATCAAAGAAAAGAGCTGTCTTAAGGCACCTAGAAGTTCTTTTCTGATATTTATAAATAAATAAATATTTTTTTATATAATTTTGAAATAATAAGATTATAAATTAAATATATTTTTGAATTTTTAAATTTTAATAATAAGAGACAATTTATAATTAAAAAGTACCAATTTTGGGCGTTGTAGGGGTGCTAATCCTTCCCTAAACGTAACCGACCACGATTCCCTTTTTTATTATTAAAAAGAACGAATTTTTGGTTATAAACGCAGATCAGTTCATCTTTTAAATATGGTTTTCTTAAAAACTCTTTTAAAAGATAATTTTTAGGTATTCGACCTACCTGACCCAAAAGGCCGATGGCGACTCCCAAATTATTTTCAAAACCATTTATTCAC